AAAAAAATATAATTTAATAATTTATCTCAAATAAAATAAATAATAATAAAAATAATAGATATCAAATCTAACAAATAAAAAAAATTAAAAGATAAAGAAATTAAAATAATAATAATAATAACTATTTCATTAATTATTTCAAATAAAATAAATAACAATTAAAAGAATGAGTACCAAATTTGATAAATAAAAAATTTCAATTAAAAAATGATAAGGAAAAAACAAATAACAATTATAAAAATAAGAATAAAAATTTAATATAAAAATTAAATTCCAAGGGATGAAATTAAAAAAAAAATATTCAAAACAAAATATATATAGCAATCAAAAGTTTCGAGGACCAAATTTAATATAATTAGCAAGTAATATGATATTTTTAAATTTTTCACAACTTCTTGAAAATGTTTTCTATCTAAAGTTTTCAGGAAAACACTTTTCTAAAAAACAAGCTAAATTTTTCTTTAACTGGAAAATGTACAAGCTAAATTTTTCTTTAACTGGAAAATATTTTTTTTTTATTGATTAACTTTTCTAATAACAAATAAACACAAAAAAAACTTAAAAAATATTTTTCAAAAAACCACTTTCCACTAAATAACCCCTTAAAAAACAAAATACTTCCTCTGCAAACCATCACATACCCTAACTCATATAAAAATTGAATTTAAGCCTAATAATTATCATTATCAGTCCCATCTCATGCTATAAATATTTCACTGTATTTGCTGATATCAACTCGTGATTCGATAGATATTTTGATTAGAAAGAACGTGCTTTGCCCTTGCAGCATGGTTCATGTCACGTATTGGACCAAATAATCTTTTTTTTTTTTTTGCCCACATGATGCAACTCTGAGCATATAGTGTTAAATATAGCTACCTGGAATCAAACTACTATAGCTTATACATGGTTAAAAAAACAAAATAAAACATGGTATACTCATAGGATTTCTGGACCGGCTCATGCCTTTTCAAACTATATCAAGACATGTCCTTCGTGTTAGCCTAGTATATTTAGAGAAAATTAAAAAATTTCAGTAAGTTTGGCCTTATATTTTGAAATTATAAAATTAAAAAAAAATCTTTTTCATTACTAAACCAGCCCTCAAGATTAAAAAGATCTAGTTTTACTCACAATTGTTAAACCTGAGTTGATGGAGCTAATTAATATAAAAATCTCTTTAAATTAGGTTATGTTCAAGTTGAAATAATTTTAATATAAATTCAATAAAAACTAGTTAACTTAATCAAACTCAGCTTATATCTAATTAAATCAATCAACACATGAAAATAAAATAAAAACTAAAATAATATTGTTTTAAATAAAAATAATAAATCAAGGTTACATATTAACTCACAAGTTGATCCAATAACCGAAAGTGTGACAAATATAGTTTTTGCGCATCAAAGTTGAACCAATATTTTCTTATTATTATTAAAAAAATTCATGGATGTATTCGTATTAGGGCTGACACTCACGAAACAAGACTTGTTCACAAGCCCATCTGCCCTGCTTGGAACCACATCTTCACAGCCCACAACACCCTCGACACTTCACTGGCTTGGACAGAAGATTCTTGGAAATTGCTTCCTTGTTTAGGTAAAAGAGAGAGAGCTTCAGTACTTGGTATGAACAAAAACCTGCGAAACTGATCGAGTTCGTGACATGCACTTAGAAATTTTCAAAGTGTGAAAAACAGAAACAAAAAGAAAAAAATGGGTCTTTTGTTCAGTAGAATGTTCTCTTCTTTATTTGGTAATAAAGAAGCTCGAATACTTGTCCTCGGCCTCGACAATGCTGGCAAAACCACCATTCTCTGTAACCCCCCCACTTTCTTTCTGTTATTTATTTTCTGGGTTTTTCTAGTGTTACATATTTGTGGTGTTTTGATGTGTTTTCTTGTGATTTAGATCGGCTTCAAATGGGAGAGGTAGTCTCCACGATCCCAAGTGAGTTTCTTTTTTTAAAAAAGAAAATTTGAGTTGGGAATTTATGTTACCGAATGATTTTTTTCTGAATTTTTGCTAACTTGATGCTTTTTTTGTACGCGGTGTAGCGATTGGATTCAATGTAGAAACTGTACAGTACAACAACATTAAGTTTCAAGTCTGGGATTTAGGTAAGTAATTGGTTTTAATCTATGAAGTAATGGAGCTTTAGTCTGTTAGATTGATTTTATTATGTAATGAAGAGGATACTGAGAGCTAGTATGGAGTAGAGTGATCAACGGGTCCAGTCAAGTGGGCTTGATTTTGATGTACTTGTTAAGCACATGAGATATTTAGGGTTTATTTTTAGTTTCTTAATGTGTGGATTCTGAATTGTAAGGGTGTGCGAATTCATGGTTTGGTGTTCTAGCTTAGTTGCCTCGGGGTTAATGAAACCAAAGGAGGTTTTTAACAGTGATCTTCTAGTAAATTTGTCATGCTGTTTATGTTCATGTAGCAATTCATTTTGTAAATTAATCTGGTTAATGGTTTGGTGCTACAGGTGGACAAACAAGTATCAGGTAACTTTTCTTCCTTCTTCTCTGAAGAAAATATAGTTTACATTCTGTAGAAATTGTTTGCCATTGTTGCTGTTGACCGGTGTTCTTAGTAGGAACATGTGCATTTGGTTTCCGTATAGAGAATGTTATATGTGTTGTTGAGAAGTACAGTTACAGCAATGCAATTAATTAAATCTCGATGCTCTTAAAATTCTTCATGGATTTATGCTCAGTCCTTCCTCGAGTTGTTTGTTTGTGTCTATGCTGATTCCTTGGTAGTAGATATTTGGCATGCAATAGTCTGTTATTCCTCCATCCCTTCCATGTGAATAAATTTGTATGTTTCTTTCAGGCCATATTGGAGGTGTTATTTCCCAAATACTCAAGCTGTAATTTATGTGGTAGATTCAAGTGACACGGAAAGAATTGGAATAGCCAAAGAAGAATTTCATTCAATTTTGGAGGTACTTCAGGAGTATCTGTTTTATTATCAGTTTGTAGAGTACCAGGATGCTGCTTACTGGGTAATGTTTGTTCGCATTCTATCAGATATAGTCGTTAGTCAAGGTTGTCCTCTTCAGTCTCAACATATTTATTGACTTCGATTGCTTCGGGAAACGGAAAAGGATAACGGCAAAACACAGTAGATTTAGTCTTTTAATTTGTGACTTATATTTATTTCATAAAATTGGTGATTATCATTGTAATATACCAAAAGCAAGAATTATTAGTACGAGGTCACGGAGTTAAGTGGGTTACATTTTTTATAATTTGCAACATATCTGGACAATAAAAAACTTTCAGTTTCATATTGTCTGCGTTGTGACAGGGGGTCTGCAATTTATGGGATTGTGGGTTGTTGGGATCATTGTTGCTAAGCTATGTAATCATTTTTTTCCTCTGCTATTTTACCATAAAAAATGTAGCTATCAATCAGGTTTAATAATTTCTTCACAAAATTAAAGCACGAGAATCAAAAGTAAAAAAAATTATCTTTTGTTGACTGTCAAAAAAAATATCCTTTGTTAATTGTCAGCTCTGCTATATTCTTAACTGCAATCTTGTTTTTCGTATGTAGATAGGAACACGTTTTTCATGCTTACATCTTTTGGAAAACAGACCACTTTTCATTAGCTTTAATGGCATCTAAGAACTCTGATATGAAATTGGACCTTTGTGCAGGAGGAAGAATTGAAAGGTGCAATTGTCCTCATTTTTGCAAACAAGCAGGTGAAGACTATTTTCTCTAGCATCCACAATTTGGATAAACTTTGTCAGTTCCTACATTTACATAGGGGTTGATATTTGATTAGTTTGATCGTCTGAAAATGGGCTTCCTAGTACTCTCAACATTGTGTATAAAATACAAGCCAATATTGGGGAAAAAAAAAGATCTGTCACCAACCACTGGAGTTTTTTTATAACATGTTTGAACTATTGCTTTATATGAGCAGGACTCCCTGGTGCACTTGATGCTGCTGCTGTGACTGAGGCATTGGAGTTGCACAAAATAAAAAGTCGTCAATGGGCCATCTTCAAAGCTTGTGCTACGAAGGGTGAAGGCCTCTTTGAGGGCTTGGACTGGTAAGCATTCTTCATCGCAAAATACTAGACATGCATGTATCCTTAAATTTGAAGTATTATGAATTGGTTTATCATATATGGTATCCACTAGATGTCGTGGGAAAAAAGTGTCACTGGTTTATACCTGGTGCTGCAAAGATTAAGTGGCAAACATATTCGTTTCTGATCCTTATAAGAAAACTCCATTTTGCCCAGGTTATATTTCCTTTTCAACCTACTCAAGTCTAATAGATTCTTCATATTTTGATTGATTGTGCAGTGATTGGTTTTTAAGAAAGAAAACAAAAGATTGATTTGGTAACTAGAGTCTTCACTTATGGTAGATAGCAATTTCTTCGTCACATATTCTGTCACTTGTGCATTGTGAATCACATGGGAATTTCATTTGGTAGGAGCATATGTTATCTTGAGTGAAAGTTAGGACCATAGCCAGTTTATCCTTCCTGGGACCTGCATAAGTGGGACCAATATCATTTACTGTCCTTGACTTCTCGAAATCTTTCAGATTTTCGTATCAATAAAAAATGCTAGTGTGGATTCACAATTTTTTCTCTTCTGGCTTCATGGGGTCGTAAGTGTACCAATTTACTCGTCTTCACACGGTAGCCATATGCAGTTGTTTTCTCTATGGTACTGAAGTTTGGTGCCCCGCAATTACTTGACATAAATGCCCAAGTGGGAAATCAACTTTTGCAGGTTGAGTAACACTCTCAAAGCAGGAGGTGGCTAACTTTGTTCAAGCAAGTTCCAGAACGAGCATAATCTACGTGCACAGGAATGCTGGAGCGATAACTGTTATTACCCTCAATTCAAGCTTGACATAATCTCAGGAGGTGACTTCGCAATTTCTTATTTCCATATGGTGAGATTAAAATATTGACTTGCAGGATTATTTTGGGGAAAACTGAAGCAAAAATACATATTTTTCTTGTAATACTGCTTTAACACAACACATAATTAGCTGCTGCCCTTTTTGTTGTTCCCTCAAATTAGTGTGTCAAATTCATATTTTCATCTTTAGTACCATGGTTCCTTACTTTGATTCTTCATTAGCAATACACTGGCTGAAGCTGCCTTTGAAGAGGATGCTCCAAACAAATGAGCCAGGCCTTTTTCCCCAGAAGCTTGTGAGATGTGACCCTAGCTGTCGACCAGGGCTAGCCAACCTGACAAAACACAGACTGCTCCCTGATTTAATTTTCAGAAGAAATGAGTCAAGCCCGTGAGCTCAAAGTTGATTAAGAATTAATGAGGCTGAAGTTTAAGCATCAAATCTAATACTAGCCTCCAAGGGGCTGTGATAGATACCTGTCTCAGAGCAGAGGAACCTGCCAATGAAGTCTACTGTAGGGCAAAATTTGGCAGTAGAAAGATAATGTAAAGTTGGTACTTACTGAGTTTCGCAAACGGGCAGGTTGTGGTACTAAACAGTACACCAGGACAGTGCTTGTCTAGATTCTGTGCTCCTCGTTTTCCTTGTGCCATCTGAATCCACTCTGAGCAAGCAACTGGACGCTCGAGAGGCTGTAGGATACAGTGGTTGCAAGCTGTATGTATGACTACACCCCGCAACTTCATCAGCTTAGATTCTCTTAAGCTTCGATTTCAATGCAAGTGTTGGCGAAAGTCTCTTCAAGTGGATGCAGAAGCGCTAGTGTCATTTCAAGAATTTGGGGCTGTTTACATCACAGAAACACACCCGGATATGGGTCGGATAAAAAATGATATTATGCGATTTTTAATGGTTTTTTTTTTTTAAAAAAAACGTTTCTATCTTCTTTTTTTTCCTTTAACATGAAACAATGTTATCTCCTTACAAAAATATATATAAAAAAATCGATTCCCTTTGCGGCCATATCTTAAGATAGGAAAGGAAAGCAGCTAACCCTAGAGTCATTCTCTACATGTCCCTCTCGAACAGTAACTTGCCCATGCCGGCATGCCCCCTCTGGGTCCTCCACGCTCGCAATTATTCAAACCTCCCTCGCCCATTTCCCTCTCTCTCCCTTTCATGCTCACCTGCAAAAGGCTGAAAACACCACCTTTCTCTTGGTGGCCCCTCCCTCCAACTATACACAAAATTGACCCCTTTACTCAAACATTAAAACCAGTATCAAAGTCCCCAATTTCCTAAAAAGAATATTAAAATGAAAATTTCCCACTTAATTTCCCTTTATTCGATGAAATCTCAAGTAACAATTCTGAGAAATTAATCGGATGAAACACACGTTGTATACGTTTAAGCCGTGTAATTAAAAATAATATTTTTTTATATTAACATATTATAACCATAAAAAAAAAACACATGAAAAAACATTATTTTCAAAGAACTATTTAAAAAATGCAAATTTAAACACGACCAAATCAAAGTATCAAACACGCCCCCTTAATAACATTGTTAAAACACAATAAAAAACACAAACCCTTTAAATCTGGCTAGGGCACCATCCACGTGTCAACCTACCATTGGACTACACTTAGATCTCCGTGGTCCCCCAAGATAGACCCATACAGCAACACCTAACACATAAACAACAACAGGAAACCACTTCACCACCAACCAACCCCATAAAACTACGCTTCAATCTGAGGAACCCCATCGAGACAGAAAACAGCTCAACAGAAGCTTCGAGTCTCGAACCTCTTCGCCTTCATCTTCCTTAATGGCATCAAAACTTTGTGACTCGTGCAAATCAGCAACAGCAACGTTGTTTTGTCGAGCTGACTCAGCTTTCCTCTGCGTCAGCTGCGACTCCAAAATCCACGCGGCCAACAAGCTTGCTTCTCGCCACGCGCGTGTCTGGGTCTGTGAAGTCTGTGAACAAGCCCCAGCTCATGTCACCTGCAAGGCTGACGCTGCCGCTTTATGTGTCACCTGTGACCGTGACATCCACTCGGCAAACCCTCTTGCCCAACGCCACGAACGTGTCCCTGTCACTCCCTTCTTTGACTCTTCCTCCGCTGCGCACGGCGGTGGAGATGCCGTTAACTTCTTGGAGTATCGTTACCTTGATGACGTGAATGGTGGGGATGATGTCAGTAGGGAGGAGGCAGAGGCGGAGTCGTGGCTGTTACCGAACCCTGGTGGGGGGAATACTAAAGGGGTGGATAGTGTGGATCTGAATACGGGTCAGTATGTGTTTGGGGCGGAAATGCACCCGTATTTGGATTTGGATCGGTATGTGGATCAGAAGGTGGAAGTGCAAGAGCAGAACAGTTCAGGTACTACTGATGGGGTGGTGCCTGTGCAAAGTAACAAATTAGGGTTTCAAGCTCCTGCTTTGGTTAATGACAATTGCTGCTTTGAGTTGGATTTCTCTGCTGGATCTAAAGCTTTTGCTGGTGGCTATGGCTATAACTCCTTGAGCCACAGTGTAAGTTCTCTAAATTGGATCCTTTGTTTGTAAAAATTGTAATAAATCTCTACTCTTCGATTGGATAGCTTGACTTTGATCGGACCGGAGAAGTGGACCGACCTAGTTTTGGTGCCTGAAAGTTGGCCTGAGATAATAAAACCTAATAAAAAAAGTTATGAAATGAAAATGTTTAGTGCTATTAGATACGTATAGTGAAGTTGTGGGTGGTGTTAGAAGTTCTGAGAGTTAATTAAGCTGCTAGGGTTTTCATCTTCTAACTAAAACGTTGTTTATGTTAGTACGTAGAGACTATAATTAATTTTGCTAGATTGAAGTTACCTATAGTAGAGATTTTCAGTTTAGTGGTGTCTATAATTTTGTCAAATTTAAGTCGTTTAATTAATTTAAAGATTTAGATAGCAAATAGCTCTGTGATCAATTGATGGGGATTTTAAATTTAAATTGTATTTGTTTTTGCTGTGCAAAATGTTTTTTAAAAGTGTTTTACTCACTTTAAAATATATTAAAATAATTTTATTTTTATCCTTTTATCATCAGCATGTTAGAACTATCGAAAACACACTTACAAAATATATCAAAATTGTTAATTTGATGCTTTTATAAAACGCTTTTTTAAAATAATAATAATAATAAAAAAAACAAAAACTACTATATTTCCAAACACTCATGGTGTTCGAAAATGAATCCAATCTCAAAATATTTTCGACCTCCAAAACTAGTGGATCGATGGATGTTGAGTTCAAGTTTAAAAGTGTTTGTAATCAGTTCTCTCGTTTTGAAAATTGTCATGCTGGTTACAGATTTCTAAGCAGCATATGTGATTTCGTGAATCTGTCATCGTTTTGGTTCATCTGTTGTTACAAGGGATTTATCTGTAGTTCGAAGTCCTGATCTTGTGAGCTTTTACTGCAGGTTTCTTCTTCATCTCTTGATGTTGGAGTCGTACCAGATGGCAGTGCCTTGACAGACATATCGAACCCTTACAGTAGATCAGTGAGCAATGGAATGGAGTCGGCAAACCAGACAGTGCAACTATCAGCAGGTGACCGCGAAGCAAGGGTGTTAAGGTATAGAGAGAAGAGAAAGAATCGAAAATTCGAGAAGACAATTAGATATGCATCACGAAAAGCCTATGCCGAAAAAAGGCCTCGAATCAAAGGAAGGTTCGCTAAACGTACTGATTCCGGGGTCGAGGTTGATCGGAGTAGTATTTATGGGTTCGGCGTCGTTCCATCATTCTAAGTTCACTTGTCTTTCCCTGATATTGATGTTGGATTGACGATATTGGAATGCCAACTTGTTTCCTCATTCGTCGACGACTCTTCACTCCTGATGAGTCCCAGGCTCTCAGCGGTAATAACTCCCTCTCTGCTGCAACAAAAAACCCCAAGTTATCCCTCTCCTCTCGCAGAGGAGATTGTTGTATTTTTGCTGTAATCCTTCTTGCAGTTCAATGTTGTTGTATATAATTAAGGTGGAACCCTTGACTCTGTACACGTATTTATGCAGTAATGAGTTTTGTTTTGTGGCGAGAATCAGCTTCACTGTTCTGGTATTTCAATCCTGGGAGGAACAGGGAGTAAGCTCTCTTTACTCGTAGGCAAAGGGTCTGGAATGATAAGATCTTAACTCGTAATTATACTTTAAGATATTATATTATTATCTAAAACAAAGATCAAAATCAGTGATGCCATTGGAGGATTGAGCAGCTTTTATGTGCTTAAAAAGTAATCATGGGGAAGTACAGGTTTTTCGTTCCTTTCATAGAAGACGAAGGTCAAAATCACCCAGATCATAGGTGGGCGTCAATTATTTTATTGGTAAGAAATCACATCAATGGGGAAGAAGAAATATTATTATATTTATTAACTTTATTAAATTTAAGAAAAGCAGATACAATGTCTTGGGACTGTCTTTGTGATAAGATCAGTCAGTCAATGGGTAGATTCCTTCTGTACTTGATTAGGACATTGTATCAATCCCCTTTTTTATTTATTTATTTTTTTTATATTATTGCATCAAAATCATATAAAAATATATAAACATTAATTTAAAATATATATATATTTTTATTTTTTTAAAATATTTTCCAAACATAAAAACAAGCAAATTCTAAATTATGGTATAATATATGTGGCGGCCTCGTAACAAAGTTGAGAATGTGCATGCAACAATTATATATGCTTCCTAAGGAGGATTTAAAAAAATAATTTTTTTGTCAATTTCATTTAAAAAATTATATAATATATTCTAATTGTTTTATGGTTTTAGTTATTTTTTCTTTGTATTTAAGTTTTCTAATTTGTTAAATTTTGTTTTTGAGTTTGTTTAAGAAGTCATAAATCTATTAAGGAGACATACTACTTGCTAAATATTTAAAACCTAACTCTCTTTTTACTGTTGGGCTCCAAACTCTGGGCTCACAACTGCAAAAACCTAATACTATCGAGAAACTAATTAAGGCCCATTAACAGACATAAGGGCCCATTCCCATTTCAACCCTACCAAAAAAATAGCAAAATCAGAGTCACGTCAGTACCCTTACCTTGTCAACTCGCCTTTTAATATGGTCACGGGAAGACTATTATTTTCGAAAAATTTAAATGTATTTTTGTTTAAAATTATTTTTAAATTATTTTAATGTATTAATGATAAAAATAATTTTTTTAAAATGTTATTTTGATATATTTGTAAATAAAAATATATTTTAAAAAATAATTACTAGTACAATACCATACATATTCTTTCTATATAACAACCTACCATATTTTTCTACAAATTGGATGATATATTATGTATCATGACACGTCCTTTTTTTATTCCACAAAAATATTTAAAATCAAATGTATTTTTTTTATTTTTTAAGATAAAAAATAAAAATAGTGTAAACAAAAAAATATATTGTTAATGTTATGAAAGAATAGAAACTCATTTCAATTTTTTTTAAAAATAAATTTATTTTATATCTTTATCTTTTATCTCCAAGTAAACACGATTTTGTTCCTTCTATATCTATCTCTTATTTTAAAAGACTAATCAAACAAAATATTTAAAATGTGTTTGATTCTCATGTTATTATTTTTTGTTCGAATTTCAATGAAGATTGAAAGAAAGAGAATTTCTCATAATTACACCCAAGAAAGTGACATTAAGAAATAGCATGTTAAATATTAAATAAAAAAATAGTTTTAATGCATGAAAAGATGACCCAAGAATACTCTAATCATTGAAAAAAAAGGGCATAAAATGGTGAACATCAACT